ATTGACGCACTGCTTTTGCATACTGTACTAAGAATGTTTTGCAGCATTGAGAAAATTGGTATTATAAATGTATTAATTTATATATCTATTTATAATAAGTGGAATATTTCTTATGTTATGATAGTTCAATCTTATTATATTTATATAATATTATATCGGTTTTAATGAAAGTTTCCTGCCATCTCAAATATGGTCTGCATAAAAGTGGCATGTTTAATCATATTTTGACAAATGATTTTTGACATTTGAAAGAAACTTTAGAACATTGTGATGTGAAGACTGTAAAAAAATATTATTATCATTAAGTACAAGGTATCTAAAATATGCCACTAGATTAGAACCATCATTTACTTCCAGTTCTAACACCAGTCCCATTCTTCAAATCCTGAAATTGCTGTGTGGAGACTCCAAAAAGTCAGCTACAGAATGTCACAGTATACGTTTTAGGTACTAATGTTATACAGTCAAAAGTCGTTAATCCGGACTCGTCGGGACTTCGGCGATTCCGGATTATAGATCATCAGTTTAAATCTCGTAAGATGGCATGCAGAAATTATAAAATTAAAAATATGAAACCGTAATTTTATGAAATAAAGAACAAATTATGATCTAAAGGGTATCAAAATTTGCAAAAGAAAAAGCTTAATATTTATTTGTTTACTTTATTAAACATTTCTTTCAATGTAAGTTGTTTAAGTTTTGTTCGTTTCATGTGATAATACTTTCTCTTTAATTCTATTAAACAGACATAATTTCTTGTTCAGTTACAAAGTTCCGCCGTTCAAGTCCTATAATTGCTGTGTCAAGATACCGACTAATTTGTCAATCGAAATTTTTTTGTTTTCAATAACCTCTGTCACTTTCTTCGCTATCGGAAGCGAATTATAATGACGAGGAACTTGTTTTAAATCATATCAAAGACGAAGCATATCGAGATGAAATACTACATTTGGTAAGGAATTATAAGCCAAATAAAATAAAAACATTTGCGCTGAAGATAAGGATAGTGCTGACAAATCAACTTCCAATTCATTACGCGCCCTGCCGCCGAGCAGCGTGAATTGATAAAACAGATTTCGGAATTTCAAACATACTTTCGCTTTAGATCCTTTACATATTAACAAATATATATCGGAAATTCTATTTGACATAATCGAAAGTTCAAGCTTACTTTTATAAAATTGCTCTTAATAGTCTGCAAAAAAATAATAAGCCGGATGCAATTCGAAAATTAAGGAACAACGCAATCATCAACATTAACTGAAATAGATAATTATTTAGCTTATACGTCCATTATACATAAAATGCGCGCGCGAAAACGTATTCTGCACTTGCGCACACTCATATGCGCAGTCGTAAAAGGTCTTACGCGCACGCGTGAAGGCCTCTGCGCATGTGTCAACGCGGCGCATGCGCAGAAAGTTTTTAGTTTTGATGTCCGGATTATAGATCATTCTGAATTATGGGTGTCCGAATTAACGACTTTTGACTGTATCATATGCACTGTGAAGGTTTGGTACCTTAAGTTCAAAAACAAGGATTATGACATTCAAGAAGCAGAATGATAGATAGTGAGTTAGATGCTAGTGTGATGTCCATTAATCACGCTATGCATCTCATAAACTTGACATACAAGTTCAATTGCTGTGTACTGCATGAGCTGACTCAAGCAGATAAGGACAGACATGTTTGGCCTGCAATAATCGTCTCGAATTTCAACGCAAGGACAAAATTCTGGACCCGTGATGAAGTTGATTTAATTCAACAATACTGGTTGAAAATGAGGTTAATCTGTGCATGGTATACCCATCGGCAATGTCGCAAAGCTCAAGTTTACTAACAAAAAGATCGTGCTTTATATCTAGTGGGATTGCTACAATATTATCCACAAAAAGAGTATCTGGAAAAAGGTGTACAATGAGATAGTATTCTGTGTTGACACTGCTATCAAGGAAAAACGTCGAACTGAGTTCCGACATAACAAGGTAATGTTCCATCAAGATAATGCAAGATCATGTGTTTGCATTGACTGGTTGGACTCTACACAGACTTGAATGGGATCTTTTGCCACACTCACCATACAGCCCCCACATTGGTCCTTCACACTTCTACCTTTTTTCACACTTGTAGCTACATCTTGCTGGTGCTGTCTGCTATTCTGCACAGGACATCCGAACTGAGGTTGATCTGTTTTGGGACTCATGGCCACCAAGTTTCTGGGCCAAAGGCTTTGAAAAACTACCAAATAAATTATTTTGCAAAAAATAATATATTTGGAACCCACACTAAATATACTGGTTTCATGTTTTTTTCTAACTTTATTAAGAACGTTTTTTGGTGAAAAACTTTCGTTAACACTAGATACTAATGTAGTTGAATGGTATAATGTACTGTATTAATGTTTTTGTGCATTATTATGTGAAACAGTTGGAAATCTCTGAATTTAATCTGCATGTGGCACTTTAAACATGAGTGCTGTGGTATGGGTGTATTGCTTTTATTTATTGAACTTTAATGTTGTTTTCAGTGAAGTATCATATGAATTTGTATTATTATTTTATTTTGTACCACTTATTTGTATTATATACTAGTTTTGTGCATTGCATCGATTTTGTTTAGATGTATGGCATATTATTTATATTATTGTATGGTCTATTTTTGTATGCCACTTTTTTGATTACACAGTACTGCTATGCTGGTTTATTACCAAGTTAGTCTTATGTACTGTATTAATATTATTATGAAGCATCACATAAATTGGTATTATTTTTATGTGTTATATTTTTGTGAGAATGATATGGTGTATTGTATTGATTACATATTGCATTCAGGGAATTGGTATTAAAAATGAATAATTTTAAAGGACGTATTTTTATTTTATGGCATTTTAATTGTTTTTTTAAATTATTATATTAATGTACTAATATATTTGTATGATATTATATACTTTATTAATGGGTTTGTGCGACATTCCAAGGTTTGGTCTGGAGATAAACAGGAAAGATTTTGTTGAAAAAGAAGGCTTTTCTTTTCTGTGTGAGTTTTGCACTTGCTTTGGATGAAGAGTTTAGCAAAAGTGAAGGAAAAAAAAGGGGGGGAGGGGTGCAAAGAGAGATAGACAGAGAAATTTCAGGTGATGGTAATGTAGTTTGTTTTTCTTGTTAGTAGTTTTCAACATAGAAACGGAATTTATAGGAGATGATTTGGATTTGACTGATCGATGAGGACTCCTGTCTCAGTTTTACAGACATTTAAGTTGACTTGTTCCCATTTTACTGACATTTAGAAAAGACCGAGCGATAAGTGTTCCTGCCCTACTCTAAAGTACTCCAGTTTTACTGACATTTAGGATAAGACTGAGGGATAAAGGTTCCTGCCACACATTAATGAAGTGGTCTAGTTTTCTGATGTTTAAGAAAAGACTGAGCAATAAAGGTTCCTACCATACATTGATGAAGTATTCCAGCAACCTACTCTGATGAAGTGTTCCAACTTCACAGACATGACCGAGCATTAACATTAATTGATATTCAGCCGAATTCTCCGTGTGTTATCCGTCAGTTTCATGTAAGCTTGTTTGTTACCAGATTTCCCAAATCTACAGTTATATGTGCCCCTCAGCTCTTCTTAGTAGTAAAATTGATTATATAAAATTTGAATTTTTCGAATGTCAGTATGTATTTAAGAGTTTTGTCTCTAGATTAAAATACTGATTATGTAAATTAAGTGTTAAAATATGACTATTTATTCAGAAGTTTAGTTCCAAGATCAGGATAATGTTTTTATTTGTATGTTTTTGTGCCCTTGATATGTTAATTCTTAAAGACTTGACAAAAAAAAGGAATATTTTTGTAACTAGGATTATATGTTTTAGGGTTGTTTTCTATCCACAATAGTACAGTTAAAGAATTGTGTCATGTTAAATGAACCTGCATTAATAATTTGTGGTTGTAGTAACTGAGAAAATAACAATTTGTATTTTAGTATTTTATGTGATTTCCTCACCAAAATCGTTTTGCTTAACATTATGTTCCTTATCAATGTGTTTGAGCGACTCTGTGGGTACTGAGATTGTTTCCTGTACTAGACTTCGTACATAAATTAAAAAAAAAAAAAAAAAAAATCTAAGCTTAACTTAATAGCTAACTAAGCTTAATTAGAAAATTCAGATATTTCGAATAGTTGTAATAAAAATCAAATTAATATACAAATTATTTATGTAATAATGATTTTTGATAAAGTTTATAGTCTAATTATATCAAATCTGTATAAAGTGGAACAACCTTATGTAGCAACTATAAAAATATAAAATGGAGTTCACCGATAAACCCTTTCCACATACTACAAATCCTTCAAAGACTATGCCAATAATTTATTTTTAGGCATGCTTTCTTTTATATGTACACTACAGAAGTATCTCCACGTGTGATAGTAGAGTCTTTAAGTAATTAAATGACGAATATAATATATTAATAATATATGAATTCATTCATTTTTCATTTCATATGAATATAAAAATCTCTTATAGTACACTTTTTAAGGTTTCGAGTGAAAAATAACAAATTTCATTCATGTAAAAATATTGCTAAATCATAACTGATTTCAGATGATAGTCTGGATAAATGCGAATACACATACTAACACATGCTTTAAAATACTTATAGGTAAATGCTTTTATATTATAATGAAGGTTCTAAATCATGTTTACAATCTTTCTCTCGTTACATTTCGACGTGAACAAACTATACGAGTGGAGTTCGTGACGTCATGAAATAGTGTGTTGCGCTTCGGTAAATGTTTAACGAAGTAAATTCTGTTTTGAATTTTCCTCATCGTAAATAATTAAATAATGTTTTTATTAACAATATAAAGTTTTATGGCGAAGAACTATCATTTCATAATTTCATACCTTATTTCATTTTTTTTTTTTTTCCCCGTGTAACCGGTGAGTAACCGTACAAGAGCATGTGACTGTGACGTTTCCTGCAGTCTAAGGTGTAGAAGAGAAGAAGACGAACAGAAGCAGTTAAGTTTTAATTTAGAACTAGCAAGTTTTTTTCGGAATGAGGCGTATAAAGTAATCCTCATCCATCTAACCAGACGTTTAATTTTGGAATAAAATTAAATACAAGAACAATAAATAGAACCGAAATAATTTAGAATACCTAAAAATTATTTTAAAACACGGAGCAGAAAAATGGACTTTTAAACAACTAAGTTAATATGCATTTACAGTTACCGTGATTTGATAATAACTAGACGTATTATAAAGTTGAAGATATATACAATGAACATCAATATTTATCACTATAGAGGTTGAGGTGTAATGTATATTTATGAATAACTGTTTAAAGTGCTATGAATATGGCGTTAGGCCTATATGCTAGATCCTGAAGGAATAAAATTCAAGATGGCCGCTGTGTGGTAAGTTAAAAAATGACGTACATTGCTACGCCGAAAGTATCTGGATTCCAGTGATATTTTTGATATGTAGATCATCTTTTTTGAATTCTATGTGGAAGTGGAATGATATGCCGAGCTCAGAAGAACTGAGATCTCGGCCTGGAATAAACAGAGAATCACCGGGCTGTAGTGCCAATAGAACGCACAGCTCTGGACATAATAGGAAATCGAGGCATAGTGTTCAAAGTGGACTACGCAGACATAGGAAATCTGCTCATAAAGCTCACAAAAAGAAACATGTGAAAGCAGAGAAGGAGATTGCAATTCCTGTGAAACCTCTTGTTGAATATGATGATGTAAGTTCAGACTCTTCTTTTTTTTCTGATCAAAGAGACAGTTCTGTTGAGAAAAAATCCTCTCCTGACATACGAGAAAGCAGGGTTGATAAAAAACGTAGTGCCGTGCAAGATGTTTCGATCAAGCCACATAAAAAAAGACCAAAAGACAAGTATCATTCTGAAAGAAAGGATCGTAACAGAGATCGTGAAGAAAAGTTAGCTTCTAATACAAGGAGCAGAAGCCATTCCAGGAAACGAGGAAAGTCAGATAGAGATAATATTGGAAGAGATCGTGCATCTAGTAGTAGGGATTCTGTACATTTAAGTCACATTCGTCAGTCAGATCACATTCAAGATTATGAAAGGACTAAAGAGAGAAATAGGCAGAGGAAAAGGGTTCGAACCCCTGAAACTCCTCGTGCCTACAGAACTCGAACTCCAACCCCTGTTAAAAATACTCAAATGTGGGTTAATAAATCTAGACGACGATCTCCAGACAGTCGTAACAGATTCAAATATGTTTCGAAAAGTCCAAGCCCTTTCCCTAGGAACTTTAGTGCCTGGTCTATGAGCAGAAGTCGAAGCAAAAGCCCAGTTGGGTAAGATTTATAGCTTGTCTAAGTATGTTCTTTAGCTTGCATCTTGCAAAAGGAATTTGTGCTTTACTTTATATTTTGCTATAAATGTTTCTTCTTCAATATTCTTAGAATGAACTGTTTTGTACCTGAATGTTATTTCCCAGAATCTGTGTCAATTGTTTACAATATCTTAAATTTGTTTAGACTTAAAAATGTGCAACATTTCTTTGAATGGATATTTGCTTTCTCTTTGCGTTTTGCTTGCTAATAACTTACATAAAATTAGGCAAAGCTTGAGTTTAGTGAGATACCCTTGTAGTTAACGTTATAACTAAAAGGGTACCAACTTTGTAACTAGTAATCTGTGACTTTATATTGCCATTAAGATCAGTTCGAAAACTACATACTTTGAACAGGAGCAATGTGCCTCGTCATTAATAGCAATTACAAGTGGTATTTATTGCTGTGCCGAGATACGTAAATGGTTATCTAAAGTTGCACTTCTAATTTTATCATATTCGTATAAAACTTGTGTGCAAATAATTTATTGTTTATTTGAGCCTCAAAAACAACAGGATTTCAGTTTACTTTCTTAATTATGAAATATTTCTCTCCCAAAAAAATAAATAAATTTCAAAATTTTTTAATTTTGTGCTGATTTTTAGTTTTTAGCTTTATCAATAAGACAGATCTTGAAAAATATTTGATATTGTGTTAGTTGTTTCAAAGGAATGAAAAATACTTTTAGCAAATGAATATTAAATTTGGAAATGTTTGCATTTCAATGTTTCCATTGTTTTAGTAGTCCTAAAATGTGGTGCATTATGTGTAATTTTTGAATGTCTATTGAAATTTGTTACTAAATTGTAATACCCATTTATTTATTATCTTTCAATCATATATGACCATTTTTTTAAATATTATATTTAGCTTCATGAATATTACATATGCACAATCCATATGTTTATTTAGACTTCATTCATTTCTAAAATCAAACTGAGGCTTGCTGTTCAATTTCTTTTCATTTGAACAAATTATTCTTTTTATATTTCAAATTTCCTCTGTGATATTTGCTGCAACATCTTTATGAAGTACATACTTTGTTTTTCCAAAGTGAGAAAGAATACCTGATGAATATGCTTGTCTACATGAACACACATTATGATATATAAGTAGTGGGGATTTTTTAGATTCAGGGAATATTCAACTTTATGTTGATATTAATTTTAAATGCTCTATATTTCAAGAGACGGTTTGTTGTTTAGTAGTGCCTAATGGATAAATCCTTAAAATATTGGACTTTGCACAATATTTCATTCCTAGAAGTACAAATAGGCTGACTGCTTGGAGTTTATTTATTTCCCATGTGCTTTATAAATATAGCTATTTTTTTTGCGCAAAGCCATTTGTCGTGGAAAAACGCCATTCTTATGCTTTTTTGTAATTAATCTAGTCCAAAATTTCCTAAATGTTCTTTTTTGATGAAATGAAACTAATCTCTACTTTCTTCTTGAAATTTATAGAACATCTTTATTCAAAATAATTTAGATTTTAATTTAGAATTTTTCCAATTCTGCAAGGTCATGAAACATTAGGGTTATCTACATCTTTTAAGAAAGTTCCGGTAAAGTGCAGAATTGTCCACTTATTTGTTTGGCGCTTTTTACAAGAGTAAGGAGAATTGGATTTTCGTCAATTTCTTGCTTTTAAGTGAAAGTAGGTTTTGTACATGGTAAATCTAATCAATAATGGCAAATATCACATCCATCCTCCTCCCTTATATTTATTTATTAATATATACAGTCCATAAATAAAACTAATGCCTAACCCTGATTCCAACTCCACAGCTCTGGCTTCAAGTGTTATTCATTGATTAATGTTACCCGGTGTCAGGTTTTTAAGAGTGATGCTCGATCAAAAGCTAACATGGGGAACAACTTTGTGATTCCAAGTGGAAATGCTTCACATTTATAGAGCTCTTGTGCGCTCTAGACCTGACTATGTTTTAGTTGTTTATGGTTCGGCACAATCTTTAGTTTTATTGAAGTTAAATCCCATGCATTATCATGTCTTCCAGATTTGTTCTGGAGCCTTTAGAACATCTCCAGTTTACAGCCTCTATGTTGATTGTTATAAACCACCTCTCCAGTTAAGTTGTGAATAGTTGTCCCTTCAGTACTTCGGTATCTTATCACAGCTGAACCATTCTTGTAAAGTTTTGCTTGGTGACATGTATTGACTGCTTATTTGAAGCATGGCCACCTTGTATTCCTACCTTTTTTTTAGGGGTTTGCTCACTACTTGAGGAATACCGCATGTCTGACTTGTACATCCAGTTAGTAAAGCATTTTGAGGTTGATCTTTGGATTATGGTAACTTGCGATTTTTTGGTGAAAATTTGGCTACCAACTCTGCTAAAGCAACCCTCTATTTTTTTTTCGCCGCCATTTTGTCTTCACAAAGTCAAGACATGTTTCTTTTCTTTTTATTTACTGAACACTTTTTCCAACAATCTACTAGCCGAATTACACTTATGCTAGAAATTTTATGTAACAAAACCGCTTAATCATGACAAAATATTAACTGCAAAATTGGGAAAAAGTGCACAATCGCAAACTCCTTGCGCGTTTTTCAGAATAGCACATACACATAAACCATTTACACGTCGACTTATTTTTACTTAAAAAAAATCCCAGAATTGCACAAAAATGGCATTGCACACACTCTTAACTTATCCATCTACACTGCTATTTTCTCATAAATTACAAAAATTGGCACGAAAATGCAAAAAAATTCTGTGAATCTTTAAACTCGGTAAAAAGCACATATATGAAAATTACCTGATCGCGAAAAAGTATATACCCTTTCCAAGGTTAACATTTCCACGTATAAAATAAATAAACCAAAAACTTTTACCTCTAATTTCTCTTATATTATAAATGTCACCAACGAATTCATACCGCAAACATTACAAATGGTTACAAATACTTAGTGTCAAATATTTAAATTATTTCCATGCACGTTATTCAACGAAAACGTATACCAAATTCATACAAACATAAAATTCACAAAATAACTATCATTTAAAAAATATCACTAACCCATGTACACGTCGACTTATTTTTACTTAAAAAAACATCCCAGAATTGCACAAAAATGGCATTGCGCAACTCTTCACTATATCCATGTACACTGCTTTTTCTCATAAATTAGAAAAATTTCACGAAAATGCATGAAATGCATTTTGTAATCTTTAAATCCGGTAAAAGAATCGATATGAAATTACCTGATCGCGAAAAAGTATATACCCTTTCCAAGATGAACATTCCACGTATAAAATAATAAAATTCCCAAAACTTTTACCTCTAAATTATCTATTGTATTATAAACGTCAGCAACGAATTCATACCGCAAACATTACAAATGGTTAAAGTACTTAGTGTCAAATATTTAAATTAATTTCCGTAACGTTTACTTCAACTGAATTATACCAAATTCCTACAAACATAAAATTGACGAAATACTTTAATTAAAATTTACTAACCATGTACACGTCGACTTATTTTTACTTAAAAAAATTCCAGAATTGCACAAAAATGGCATTCGCACACCTTCACTATATCCATGTACACTGCTTTTTTCTCATAAATTAGAAAAATTTCACGAAAATGCATGAAATTTTGTGAATCTTGAAATTCGGTAAAAAGGACATATTATGAATTACTGATTGCGAAAACAGTATATACCCTTTCCAAGGATGGACATTTGCACGTACAAAAATAAATAAAATATCCAAAAACTTTACCTCTAAATTATCTATTATAAACGTCACCAACGAATTTATAACAAACATTAAAAATGATTACAAATACTTAAATTCTTCCATGCACATTTACTTCTACTCAAATGTATTTCAAATACTACATATAACTTAACTCCCAAAATCACGATCATTAATTAAAATATAATTAAATTAAAAAACACTACTTAAAATATAAATAAGCACATACATTAAATTAATAAAAATTAGCTACAATCCTAATTACTTTAAACTAAATCATTGCTAATAGCATTTTCCAATAATACCATATTAATTTATTTACTCCTTACATTTAGAACAATGCATAAAAATAATATCCTCAAATAATTAAAAATACTAACTTACCTAATCTTCTACACAATCTTGAGTGCATGGCGGATCACAAAATGTCCATTTTCACCAGGTTTCTTGCACCGCCATTCAAACTATCTGTAATATCCTTCCTTTCACACAATCTCATTTCATTCCCACATATCGGACATTCATACTTATCCGCAACTAAGCAATTCTTTTTAATTACACAACACAATAAAAAATTTTCGGATTTACTTTATATATGGCCATGTGATCCAAATATTAAACAACACTGTTTCACAGAACATAAAATGAAACTACTGCTATAAAGTACAGCAGATATTTTTACAAATATACCCCCTTTTCCGATTAAAGAACAGTGATTCGTCCACATATCTCACAATCTCTCATTTCTCTCACACAAAAATAATGTGTAATCGGAACTGAGTACTTCTCACATTATTCCCAAAGTCCTAGGTAGTAACCTTTATCGCCTCCAAAATGTCGCCAAACTACCTGTTACCATATTCCAAAGATCAGCCCATTTTGAAATCCCACCTCATGAATATATGCAAAATTGGCTGTCAAAAAAAGAACTAATGAGATCATGTATCAGCAACTTTTCTTAGAGAGCATAGACTGAGATAAAGTAGTTATGTTCACGTATATACAGATGAATCGAAAGCAGTCGGTCATGCTGGAATGTCTTTCTTAATTGAAAATCATATGGTGGGTGATTACTTGATAATTGTTCAGTCCTGATATCTGCAATTTATTATGCGCTTTTATCTATATGCAGGTGCTGCTCAAGGAATTTTATTAGTTATTGTGATTCTTTTAGTGCTCTAAAAGCTTTAGAAACATTCTCTGAAGCTCAAAATTCAATTATAGTTAAACATCTAAAGTT